GTGGTCGATGTGGATATTGTGGATGAGTTCTTCTGTGTCATCACGTTCTATTAGTTCTACAGCTTCAGTTTCGGAACTTTCACGCTTAGTAACACATACAGCTGTTCCCTCACGACAGTGCAACAGTGAAAAGGGACCCCTTTCAAACAGTGTGGCGTTCCGAACGTTGTTTAAGCGACATACACCGGTATTGCGGTATTTTAAAAAGTCATATCATAATAAAAATAAACACCGGTATTCGGTATGAACCGGTATACCGCCCAGCACTATCTGAGTCAATTTGCTGATTTGTATTCAAACACTTAGAATATACTAAATAAAGTTTTTGTAACATTAAAGTTATAATACTAACTTTAACTTTAAAGAGCAGGTCATATGGGCTTTTGAAAAATATCTCTTTTGCATTTTATAACGTAGCTATCCTTAAATGAATACAATCTGCAAAGTTGTTAATGAAAAAAGTGCATGATAAATAAAGATATTGTCCCTCAAAAGAGAGAGTCGATTCTGAATCGCCTTAACGAGTCGTCATATTTTCGAATCATTTGCCTGTTACCTGTATACGTCACTGGGTAACACATTTGCATAATCCCCGCCTGCCCGCGAGTCTGACCTGCCCACAAACACAAATGTACTCAAGTAAAAGTAAAAGTACACAATTTTTAAACTACTCAAAAAAGTACAATTACTGATAAAAACTACTTAATTACTGTAACGTGAGTATTTGTAATTCGTTACTTCACACCCCTGATGTTGAGAAGACGCTGTGTTCAAGGATACCACAGAAATACAATTCGAAACTTTTGTTGTGTGCATGTCATTTTACCAAGGACTGCTTCTCCAATCTTGGCTTTAATCTTCGTTGGCTTCTTCTATCTTCTTAATTTGGACTAACACGCTCTCCGAAGCACAACCTGTAAGTACCATTGATACGTTACTCGGCTAACGTATCCAACGTTATTGTTTTAAGTGTTCACAGTTTAGCAGCTAAACTTTAGCTGTGGGCACGATTCGCTTGCATAAGTGTTTTTGTATTTTATGTCATTATTATAAGAATGGATTGGAGCACTATATTATTGTTTTATGCAAAGGTGCATTGTCAATGGTAGCGTTCGCTAACTTGCTCAAGAACTCCTCTCTGTGCCAATCACAGCAGGCTTGACCAGCTGACCAATCAGAGCAGAGTAGGCTTATGGAAAGGCGGGGTTTGCTCCAAACCTGCTTGGAACGAATCGTTTAGAAATCATTGGCAAATGACTCTAATATTAAATGTATATTCTGAGAAAATTACAATGTTTTCTGATCTTAGATGCATTTAAACCTGGTGTAGGGGACTCCAACACAATATTAGCACACTTTAAAATACCATATGAGCTGCTCTTTAAATTACATAATTATAGGCTATTTCAATTAGTTTTTTTTTTGTATAAAAACATTTAAATGGTGGTTGTCACAAAAATATTGAAGAACAGTAAAAAAAATATGTTATATGGTGCATATTTAGCAAAATGCTCCTCTCTAGAGTAAATGTTTCTAGTTCATGGTCACCGAATAGGTTTTTCTGTGGTAAATGTGCCGTTACGTGACAGATTGTTTACAAGCTATTTTCATCTTTCCACGTTTGAAACACTGATTGAGCGATTTCATGAGACAGGAGATGGATTCGGTAAGTTGTACTCTTTCTTTTAACACCCTCGGATGTTCATTCATGGTTATTTCATGCTGTAACCGCTATTAAAGCGGAGGAGACGATCAGTTCACAGCCACATTCAACCGCGCCAAAACGGCATTTCATATTTGAATATTGTAATAAAATGGACAGAATCTGAGACATTGTTTCATATCAAAAGTAACAAATCACAAAGTGTATTGAAATTTATTGGATGGGTGGGATTGCTACACTGTTCCGTTCATTATCTGACAAGCTAGACTAATCAATTCTTGGGATTTATGAATCGATATTGTTTCATATAAATGAGAATTGATTAAAAATCTATATTTTTTACCCAGCCCTAATGTGTCACCCGTGTTTCTGTCTTTCAGAAGAGCCGACTCTGTCATCAGGCGTCCTGAAGCACTGGAAACTCACTCTATACGGCTCCTCTCTGTCTCATCAGCAGGTGAAAGAGAGACGGAGGTGAGCCACAGAGGACTGATACTCAACATGAGCTCGTTGCATTTACTTGAAGATGTTTTAGATGTTAAAAAAAATACACGCTCTGACTCTGGTCTGTTAGCTTCAGCAGTGTAATCCTGAATCAGTTTAGTGTTAATACATTTCCATGCATGTTTGTTTGAATTGTCAGGGTTGTTGAAGACGCCATGGGTGGACAGTATCTGGACAGAAGTTTTGCTCTTCCCTGTCCTCCTGGTATCGACGTTCCTCCTGAAATCGTGAGCCCGTTCACCTCGAGCAGCCTGAAGGTGTGTGTTCCTGAAAACACCAGCATGGTTGCACACGCTGTCACATGTGTAACTAGTGTATGGCTTGAACCGAACCCAATGCATATGTCATTTTGCACGTGAACTTATAAACGTGTTTTGTGGTCTGCAGTCTCTCCTGCTGCTGGGCTGTTTCGCTCTCTTCTGGTCGCTCTATTACACTCTGGAGGTGACCCTCACTCATTGGGACTGGCGTGGATGCAGCACGGCGGGACGGGACAGAGGCTTTCAGGCCGGATCCACGGGCCTAGAGGACAGTCAAGTGGTGGAAATCCAGCCCGAGATGGACAATGAGTCCAAAGTCCCGCTCATTGCTGCTGATGAGAACACGTAGCACGTGTCTCCATTTCTTTCGTTTGAAATTTCAGGTTGCACTTCGCTTTTGTTTGCGCATGTGAGCCAAATGCTCTATTTTGAGTTGCCTTCTTTTGTGTTCATGACAATGTTGTCTTATAAGAGTGCCTGATGTTGAGTGCAGTGTTTGAAACATTCAGTGCATGATTGAGAGAATGTGTGTGAGGTTTGCTGAGTGCTGCGTGGATGATATTTTGTGGAGTTTAATATAATGACTTTTTTCTTGATCGTGACGCATCGAATGTGTCACTCTTAGGTCTATAAATACCTCCGACACTTGAAAGACTGAAAGAGATTGTTTAAACTGGAGGTCTGCTTAACTGCAGATATTTTACTGATTGTAGTCTGTTTTTTTGTTTGTTTTTTTTACCGAAGTGTGGTATTCTTGTGAACAAGAACTCAGATGAGGTTTGAATAAAAACAAAAAGGGAAAGTGTTTTAGTATGTCTGCATGGGTTACAGTGTTATGTGCTTTTAGACGAGCTCTTAAAATCAACACAAAATGTTAAACGCAAACCAATTAATTTCTGTAATGAGAGGAGTGGAGCTTGATTTCGTCTATGAGGAATTGATTGGTTGGTGAGAAGTCTTTCTATATGACCGGTAGAGAAAACAATAAGATCGATCAGTGACCTTAGCCTAATTTTTTCCCTTTTGGATTAACATGCACCACAATAAGACCAGTAATGTGTATTACAGAAGTAAATGGGTTCATTTCGATGTGATGTTGACTTGCAGATATTACAAAGTGAATGTTATAAAACAGAGAGTTCCGGTGCTTGATTCTGATTGGCTGAGCCGAAGCTGTTGTAAATTACTCTACAAAGTAACATACACCTTTGTTTACTTCTGTGTGTTGCTCGGCAACCACTTTGTTGCAACCACAACTGTTTCTGAGGAGCTACATTGTTTGGTGGAAGAATACTGTTTTTATTAATATCATTACACTTTATTTGCTCTGTTTTATTCTGTGAAACCTAACTACGTATATGGAATAACCGTTTTATAAAAGCGGAGTGCCTAAAACCCCCTTAGCTGTTATAAATGCACTGTAAACCACGGCTTCTTGGGGCTTATTGCTTTATTAAACCGCACAATCTGTCATGTTGCACTCAGATGAAATGCAAAATTCTGCTCAACAAAGAATTTTAATTTGACCAGATACATTCCACAAGCAGGGATTGACACTGGATATGGAAACTTGGTTTAGTACCGAGTGGTGGTGTTCTTTTATATTTATTACGCTGTCATATTCTGGTCATATTTTGAACATTTGGAGTCCAGGGGTTGGGATGCAGTGATGCTCGGGGAACCGAGGGAAGGACTCATGGGTTCATGATCTGTCGAGGTCTGCCGTAGCCTGTCATGCCAGACTGGGTCGCCCCTTTATTGGATCCCATCTGCAGGCCTATAACATTCTTCCCTTCTTTCAGCTGGCCTTCAGAGAAATCTCTCCGGTTCTCCTGAGCTTTCCTGCAAACAGAGAGCAGACACGTCAGTCCATGTCGCGTGTGCAGTGCTGTGTCTGTGTGATCAGCGGGACTCACTTGAAGAACCAGCTGGGATCTCCGCGGAAGCTGCCCTCATCTTTAGTAACGGCGATGCTGCCCAGAGCCATGAGTGTCCTCTGCACTGCGGCCAAGTCCTTTCCTGACGTCAAAGCAGCAGCAGCATGATTAAAGCACAGCTCTTTTGCACAAGCAAGCTATGAAGATGCACATAGATCTTAACTGTTTTTGATTTTCTTGAATTTTGGGATCTAGCAGGTAGACGGTCCGCAGTGATTCCTGCATTTGTTCAACTGAATTGTGACCCTGGACCAGAAAACCAGTCATAAGGGTACATTTTTTGAAATTGAGATTTATACAAATAAGCTTTCCATTGATGTATGGTTTGTTAGGAAAGGACAATATTTGGTCGAGATGGAACTATTTGAAAATCTGGAATCTGAGGGTGCAAAAAAATCTAAATATTGAAAAAATCATCTTTAAAGTTGTTCAAATGAAGTTCTTAGCAATGCATATTACTAATCAAAAATTAAGTTTTGATATATTTACAGTAGGACATTTACAAAATATCTTCATGGAACATGATCTTTACTTAATATCCTAATGATTTTTGGCATTAAAAAATATATATAATTTTGACCCATACAATGTATTGTTGGCTATTGCTACAAATATACCCCAGCAACTTAAATGGTTAGTTCACCCAAAAATGAAAATTAGCCCATAAATTACTCACCCTCAAGTCATCCTAGGTGTATATGACTTTCTTCTTTCAGACGAATCCAGTTGGAGTTAAATTAAAAATCGTCTTTGATCTTTCAAGCTGTTTCATGGCACTCAGCGGGTGTTGCATGCATCAGTCCAAAAGAAGTTAAATAAAAAGTGTCCATCCATAAAAAAAGTGTCTCACACGGCTCCGGGGGGTGAACAAAAGGCCTTCTGTAGCGAATCGATGCGTTTTTGTAAGAAAAATATCCATTCAAAATGAAAATATTCAAAACGTAGTAATCACTTTAATGTAGCTTGCACCAGCAGTTGTACACAGAAGCAGCTCTGGGCGGATGACTCTACATTCAAGTGATTATTACGTTTTGAATATGGATATTTTTCTTACAAAAATCCATCGATTCACTACAGGAGCCATGTGAGACACTTTTTTTATGGATGGGCGCATTTTTATTTAACTTCTTTTGGACTGATGCATGCAACACCCGCTGAGTGCCATGAAACAGCTTGAAAGACCAAAGACAATTTTTAATATACCTCCGACTGGATTCGTCTGAAAGAAGAAAGTCATATACACCTAGGATGACTTGAGGGTGAGTAATTTATGGGCTAATTTTCATTTTTGGGTGAACTATCTCTTTAAGACTGCTTTTGTGCTCCAGGGTCACAATTGATTAGATGTTGAATGTTTGTTTGTTTTAATAATAACCATTGTCCATGGCAACAGAAGATACCAGTGAATATTCGAAGACGAAGAGATGCTTGTTTTTTGGTATTTGGAATTGTGGGTATTTTGGTAATTAAGGGATATTATTAAGGGATTTTATTGTGGTTTGAATGTAACATCAATCCCTGAACGGATAAAACACCCATGAAACGTTTGTTACAGTAGCATTAGGGATAATTTTACAGTCTCCCGTGTCAGAAATCAGGAGATCATCAGCACATTTGCTGAATTCCTCACTGAGCTCCCGTTTGTCTTTTCCAGTCCGGAGAGCATTTTTCAGGAACAAGCAAGTGTTTTATTTCAACTCTGATGTACAATGTTCTACACCTGGGTTGTTGTCAGGATCATTTCATTTGAAAGGTTATTGCTGAACTAATAAGAAATCATATTTTCCACACCTCGGGCCCAAAGTATCATGTGTATATATAATGTTTTCATGCTTTTGTTCTTGGACTTTTTCTTAAGCTATTGCCTGCAATTCAAAATATATTGTTATAATAATTGTTACTGATTCTAAACCTAAAGCATTATTATTTTAACCCTATTACAAATGTAAAAACAATAGAAAAAAATATAAGTAAATTCTGGCATCGTCAATTAGCTTTAAAAATGAAACAAAATGCCAATGCTGTTCCATTAATGAAATGCAGCACTGCATCAGTGTCTCAGCAATGGATGCTCTGCAGTGAATGGGTGCCGTCAGAATGAGAGTCCAAACAGCTGATAAAAACATCACAATAATCCACAAGTAATCCACAGCACTCCAGTCCATCAGTTAACATCTGGAGAAGACAAAAGCTGAAACAAACCCAGCATTAAGACCTTTTTAACTAAAAACACGAGTCCATAATCCATAATAACGCTTCCTCCAGTGAAAAAGTCCATCTCCTGGATTTCCTGGATTTGTTTCTTATAAACATGCAACGTTTGGTGGTTTTTATCAGCTGTTTGGACTCTTATTCTTACGGCACCCATTCACTGCAGAGCATCCATTGCTGAGACACTGATGCAATGCTACATTTCTACAGACCTGATGAAGAAACAAACTCATCCTAATCTTGTATTAAAAAAACAAAACAAAGGAGACAAGCATTTTGGAGAATTGATGGATGGAGGATATTACTGGGTTTAAAGTAAAAATAAAGTAAATTGGTTAATAACTAGTCTACTAGACCTAACTACTTTGTACTACGAAATATTATACAACAAAAAGGATTACGATTAATGCTTTTCCCCATAATATAACGGTGATATTAACACGTTTAATAAAGACAAACAAACAACTAAAGTTATTTTGATTTTTTTTTTTTATTTCAATAAAAACTAAAGTTTGTTAGAATTAATTATTCTATACAAACCATTGAAATTTAATGGTGATGTATGAGAGGCATGTCAATGTGCAATTCTTTTTTTTTTTACTTTAAAATGAATGTTTTATTTTAATATTAATTTTGTATTACAGTACATGCTAAACAGAGTTAAATCTATGAAACTGTTTAGTATCCTGTTAACCAGACACAAATGATTGCTGCATATATGATAACCTAGTTTAGTTTTGCTCTGTCTCATGCCATACATTAAAAATGATTAACTTTAACAAACTCTATTTAAAGTTAGCTGATAATGTTAAGTTAATAGAGAAATGTAAAGAATGATCATTTAAACCGATATACTGAATTGTGCATTTGACATGAGATCTGAATGTCTGTGAGGAATATATACAGTATGTGTTTTGTTGAACTCACCCTCCCACAGATCTATGGTCTGAAACATGTCGGTTTTGACGACGCCGTACTGCTCGGCAGCATTGAGGAACTGAGAGACCTGCTCCATCTGTTTGAAAGCCATGCTGGAGCTCTGGATCTTCTTCACAGGCTTGTCCTTACACAGACTATTGATGAGCTCACACAAAACCTGAGAACGGTACGGAGAACGAGATTACCTTCCAGAAACGTCATCATTATGAATGAGATTATAACAACAAGTCACTCATGCAGATTCCAGTGTGGTTTGATCCGTGTCACTCAACAGGAATGTTATTCAGTTTTAGTTGGTCTGAGCATTTCTCGTGCCAATCTTGGAGTCTCTACTTCAATGCCTATTCATTTTAGCTTATTATTGTTATTATTTTTTTAAAAACTGAATAGCCTAGGTTCAGTTAGCAGCTAGCTTTTCACTCATTCATAATTTTGTCAAAACACTTTTTTATTAATTACTAATACTAATTAAAAATTACTATTACTGATAATTTATTAATTTATGAGATGACATATCTATTTTTGTGAAACTACATGTGCTGCTTGCCTCGGCCAGGACACTCGCAAAAGAGATTTTTAAATCTCAAGCTTTTTTTTTTTTTTTCTTGGTTAAAGGTGAAATAAAATGCTGTCAAAGCCTGTTTCTTGGCAGCCTTTTCTTAAAAGTACACAACATGTTGCTTGCATGATTGCCTTGAGAGCACCACACATGCATGGCTTACACATCCGTCTTTGAGCCAGGTCTGGAAGCCCAGTTTTCCAGCCTCTGGTTTTCCAACCCCAGAGCCGCACTGAGTCACGATCCACTCCACCAAACGCACCTCCAGCTCAGGGTCGTACTTCTGCTTGATTTTATCCTGCACCTGGCGGCTCATCCCATAAGATGGACCCTTGTTTGCCATGGTTGAAGCTCCCTGCGTAGAGGATAACATAAAGTTTCTTAATATCCTCCTGACTACCAGCTATGGAGTTTTGTCCTCTGTAGGGGACATTATGTTTTAGTGATTTCTCTGAGACGTTACATGCCACAGTTGTAAGTCTGGGTGTCCTGTACAGAGCACATTCAGGGCTTTTCAGAGATACTAAATGACTGGATGTTTCACCGTCACCACTCCCTCTCCTTGGTCTTTAAAAATGGCTGACATTCATTTAGTGATCAAGTGTAACACTCTTATGGAAATATGATAATATTTTGTAATTATTTAAATCTGACTAATTTTCAAAGTGTGTGTCATAAATCAACATCTCAGGAAAATGTTATGGGGTTTCAAATCAAAATATGCCCTTCTGTTATGAAACAGGACGTGGATTTCATACATGTCCACTGTAGAGGACACGAGGACTTAACGCATGTTTATTACACATTTTGGGAGACACAACAAATGAATAGAGAAAAAATTATGTATCAATATTCCTATTAAATATTAGATATTATTATGAAAATCTTGCTAATTATTACTCCCATTATTGCACTTATTTGTTCATTCTATGTTGCCCCAAAAACACATTAATATGCAAATTAGATACATTGTATATAATGGAAAAACTTGTTTATGGCCATTTTACACACATTTTGCAGAAAGAAAAATGGTTTTTAAAAATATCTTTCATAACATAGTTGAGAATCGTCTTTATATAAAGTTTGGTATAAAAAATGAAAATGATTTGTGATTAAAACAAAAATCAGTTTTTGTCTTTTCATGTCTATTCATGTGTTTTTATTTCTTAGAAAACAGGACTTTTTAAAGTCCCGATGTCTTCTACAGAGGGCATGGCATAACATATGAATAAAATATCTTTTTTTTTTTCAAAAATTGTATTTTCCAAATTTTTCTTATGCTCTAAACAATGTAATGCCATGACGAAATACTAAATTCACAAAACTGTTTTTTCCTGGTAGTCAGGAGGCTATGTGCAATTCCATGTCGGATTTCTTATATTTTTGTATTGTTTTTTTTTTTTGTTACAGTGTAGTTTGTCTGAAATGTTCCTCTGTCAAATGTTATTAGACATTTTCAACATGAATAATGCTTGCTTGTTGTTATATAAAGATATACAACAAGAACACAAGTTGGGGAAGTTTATCATTATTTTACCTTTCCTGAAATCCTCTTCTCCTGAAATTTTAAATTAAGCTAAACACCATCAGAATAATGTGAAAAAAAAAGCCAATGATGCAATTGGAAGCAGCCACAAAGCCGTAAAATCAACATACAAATCATGCTTATAAATGTTGTGCGGTGTAAACAGTCCAGCATTTCCAACGGCAAACAGTTCAGCACAATTATAAAAAAAATATGCTGTCAAATGGATCACTTGAGCTAAACCGTTACACAAAAAGCAACCAGAGAGGCAGAGGCTGAGAGATTCACATGTTCATACAGTCCTTGAGTGGAGGTGGATGGAAAAATCAGTACTGTACAGCTGAATATGACAGGATCAGATGAACATGCTCCTCCAGAAACACCATCAGCTACAGTCACACATCTCAGCAGTCCGTAACTCCATCGAAGCGAAGCTCAAATCACACACACACACACACACACACACACACACACACACACACACACACCCAAAGAGAGCAGC